GAGATGGCTTGGTCTTGAGCGAGGGTGAGGGTGGTGGAGAGAGAGAGGAGACTGAGGAGGATGGAGGAGCGCATTTTGGAGGGTGTTTTCTTATTGGCATTATTTGGTGGGTAGAAGAAGACGATGTTGGACAGTTCAGGCCTTGGAATAAACAACAGCCTTTGTATGCGGCGGTGTACGTAGTGCGAGAGATTGGAGTTGGAATTGAAGATAAAGTACCATGCCATCACCCACTTGTACATGTACATGTACGCAATCTTCTACATGCATCCAAATCGATAATATTGCATGACTTCACCTTATCACATTCTTTCCCCGTCGCCTCCACGTACAGTCAAACAGCACAACCCATCTACATGGCCTCAGCCTCCTATCCCAAATCGTCAGGAATACAAGCTACAATCACCTTCCTCTCCAAGAGTACAATCAATCCTGGACGATAATCTCATCGCAGCGACATGTCACGGTAGTGGGCTGAGAGGAACCGTAGAAGGTGCGGGTACACAGACCACATGCGTTGATGCAGGTCCACAAATTGCCCTCTTTTTGGTCATGTGCCGAGTCCTTCGCATGTGTGTTATTCTGGGTGGGTGACTAGATGGCGCGAGGTGGTGTACGCAACGTCAAGCACCATCGCACGTGAGGTGCATCGCAACCTTGGAAGGCAGATTGTAGGCTGAGAAAGCAGGCGGTGGCATGTCGGCGATGGGAGCTGTATGCAGCGTTGGGGGTGGCCTGTTGATAGCTGTCGTCGCTGGCTATCGTTGGCTATTTGTCGTTCGGCCCACACGCTCCGCCCGTACCGCGCTGAGCTGTCAAGGGCTCCACATCACAACAGTGCAGCGCGACAACCCTCCGACGATGCCTGTTCAACGCACGGCCAGATGCAGGCGTGGGTCTCATATTGCCGCCTCAGGGTCGCTCTCAGGATAGCGTCTTTTACCGTACCTCTGTGAGTCATGTGCCATAACGCGTGATTCGTGGAACTGGTTGTGCCCTTGTCACGTGATTCCTTGATGGGTACTTAGTTCCTCCTTCCACACTAGTTAGTCGGTAGACTTTACAATACAATCATACTTGCACCTATATCTCACAGCCCTTGTAATTAATACCCACAAAACTCAACACCCCCACAGCTCAACACCCCCACAACTCAACACTACAACATCGCTAGAAGAACATGTACAAAACGATGATCTCTTTTCAGAGAAGCTCGATGGACTCTTGGGTTATTCAGTCCCGAGATTCCATCATTACCTGAAAGCATGCTGGGAGTTCTGATTTCTACATTGTGGTGGATGGAGTGGGAAGCCCAAGAGATTCTGATGACGCTCGCCGCCTTTATCTAAGGATCGCCAGTAACCAATAGGCTTTTGATGATTATATGCGGCAATGAAAAGAAACGGAATAGCTTCTTTTTTGCTGTGGACGTTTAAGGAAATATTGCAAAGGTGATTGAACACGACTATGCTGCTGACGTGGACGTAAGAAGTACCCCTGCTTTACAACAATGGCGCCTGGTTAAGAGGCGTATATGAAGGTATTTATTGTCTGTATTCGCACAAATACAACGGCCTGAACTCTACTCCCTTCTCTACTCTTGAACGGATCGTCATGATGGAAGCGAAGCAAGACATTGACCTTGGTTAGCTCTACGTGTCGCATACTTTAGATGAAACTAATTTTCCATTAGGGTTGTTCAACTCCAAAGACCACAATGGTTTTGTCTGGCCAGTCAGATACAGTCACGACTACATGCCAACAAATGAAGCGTCCATGCCACCTTTTGTCGACCTGTCCTGCTTCCCTGATCTGAAGGCTGAGACTATCAGTGTTGAGCCAGTCATCAACGCAGTTCAGATTGAAACTGGATACTTGATCAAGGAGTGTGAAAGACTTAGCATGAACAGCATTCCTGTCTTTCCTGTACATGCAAAACTTCCATGGTATTCTTCGATTCACCATGTAAGACAGAACATACACTGGCCAATGGCTGTAGAAGCAACACGAGTGCTGCTACAGCATTTTGCTTCCGACCAAACTGCGACAAGTATATTGAAGAATGGAGGCAAATCGTACTCTGAGATAGCCGCTAAGGAGCTGCCGACGTTACATGATAACTGGACTCGGTTCTGTGCTTATCTGTGGCCGGCTGCAAGCGAGGAGCGACTGAAACTCATCGCTGAGACTATTGTCTACATCTTCATCTTTGATGGTAAGCGGAATCTTACAAGAAATATTACTACTCTAATCACTTCTGGTACAGATGTATGGGAGATGAGTGACGAAAGTACAGTGAGTCGTTCCAAACTGTTGAGCATCCACATATTTAACAGCTGAATGGCAGATCCAAACATTTCAGAAAGAATTCGTATCACGACTAAAGGCTCAAATGCCTTACGGAGACGATGAACCAGTCTCGATCTTGCAGAAGGCCATGCATGCTACTATCCAAGGCCTTCATGATCAAGATGGCATCATCGGTGACGGAGGAGCCGAGGTAGTTGCAAGATTGATGGATTTCATCAATCACCCCCCGCCCCCCACCGAATTCCACAGTCTGAGAGAATTTCTGGACTATAGGATAATCGACGCAGCTGTCCCGTAAGTACGGATCAATAGTCTACACATTACGAAGGAAACTAATTATAAGTTCCAGTTACGTCATAGCGTGTACGAAGTTCTCTCTTTGTTCAACTGTCGACATTTCCAGCCCCAGAATTGCCAAATTTCTCAGGCTATTTGCGGACCATGTATCGATTTCAAATGACCTTGGTTCTTTTGATAAAGAGAAAAGAGCCTACGTAGAGAGCAAGGTGCACTACCTTGTGAACACAGTGGAAGAAGTTCGGAAGACTTATTCCCTTCCCAACGACGAAGCCGCGAAATTTGTCACGTTGGCTATCCAGGTGGAAGTGGAAAGAGAAATGGCAAGAGAACTTTCACAACTCAATGTCGATAGCAGCGTTCCTGAACCTGAGAAGGAATTCGCAAATGCGTTGGTATTCACAGTCAGTGGAAGTGTTTTGAGCTCAGTTGTCATGTCTCGATATGGTGGTAGATATATTGGCGGTTGAGGAGTTAACCGAACTTACACCTTCTTTATCTTAACTCGAAACTTATCGCCTTGAATATGAGTTTGTAAGATCTTGTCTTCCTCCTTACACAGCTCATGAAATGTACAGATGAGCTCATGAGCCGATTCCGGTGGCTTGGGAGTGTCTTTGGAGCTAAGGGCGCGTCGAGGAACGTGGATGGTGGCGCGGTTGTAGATCGGGGTAATGATGCGAGCTTGGAAGTGATGACGTTCTAGGGGTCGGTCCGCGGAAGCTGGTGCGCGTGGGTGGCTGGGACGTTGCTTTTCTTGTGGGCTGCGGGCTCGGGTATTTGAGAATCGGAGAGATGGGGTAAAGTAAGCTTTTTCTTTTCTTTCGATGAAATTCTTGTAATGTGACATTCGTCTTCTGCTCTACGTAGATTGTAGAGTACGCTGTGGCGTTGTTGGTGCGGACGGTGCGACACCTACCTCCAACACCCGATTCTTATCATGTCCAACCATAATTCTACATGAACGCATTCAACGCCGCACCTCCTACACCGAACAAAGCAGCATATTTTACTTCTGCAATAGGTCAGCTTTCTGATCTACCTAATAGTATCGCCTCCCGCAATCCCTGAACCACGACAAAGACCAGAAGCCAGGGTCACGTACCGTGAGCATTCGCCGCACCCGTGCTAGTCGCTTGAGCCGATGCATCAGATGGCGAAGACGCAGATACAATGGTTGCAGCTGAAGAGTAGACTGTGGGATTGATGCCACCGAGGCTCGTGACACCTGGGGGGACTTCTTGCGCCGCGGCTAGAACGCTGAAGAAGGCGATGAATATGTATAGTGGTGTTTTGAACATGATTGCAATTGTTTAGACTGACAGAAAGGTGCGATGCAGGAACGACAATGATAACTTGGTTGGCTGCAGGTACGGTCTTGAAGAGATGGAGCGATTGATCATGCGACTTGTTACTGAATCAAGCCAGGTCTGTACTGTATGTACTGGTACTTCCCATGACGACTGCCATGTATGACGCAGATGTCTCGGTCCAGCGACAACTTAGACTTTCCATGGACGATGCTTCTTCTCCTTTGCAACCTTCATACTCCGGATGATGCGGTTAGCGACCTTCTTAGTGCGGGATAGCGCGGAACTAAGGCCATTTCAAGGTGTAAATGACGTGGTCAAGACGGAACTCGGGCCTTGGAAATGGACCCTTTTCAACACAAGTATACAGGCCTCTCAATTTGGTGCGAAGAATATCACATATTCGTTGTACAAGTGGAGCTAAGCCATTAGTTGCGATTTGGACGCGATGTTGTGATATCGCTTGTTTCTAGGAGGTGACACAATCTGATTAGGGAGTTGGAGTAGTCAATTCAATACTAAGGTCGTCGAGCTGTCTTTCCCCACGCACCAAAACCTATCATAGGGTATCAACAATCTCCCCATAATCCCACTAACCACCCATTCCTACACTTCGAGTCGATCATCTTCCCCATCCCCATCCCCAGCGCCCTCTAAGAGGATTCATAATCCCACTTCCTTGCGCAGCTTTTGCCTGAACCTTCACTGGCTGCAATTGCTGCGCTTGGGATGACTTCATTGCTGCATCCGTCTCAGATACTTTTGCAGCTGAAGCTGATGCAGGCGCTAAGCCGGTCTTCGTGGCACCCAGTGGGGGTAGTTGCTGTTGCTTCTGTTGGCTTCCATTCCCAGGGCTAGCGCCCTTCTCTCGCCCGAAAAGTTCTGATATCCTTGACGTGGGACTGCGCCGTGGCTTTAGTGAGTCTCTGCGAGTGAGCGCCGGAGGTTTGGGATCAATCTGCTGCGTCGCTGGTGACAGACTTGCGTTGGCATTTGAAGGGGCTAGGGCAGCTGCCTTCCGCGGTGCCTTCTTGGGTAAAGCATACGGATCACTAGAGCTGGACTCATACATTCCGTATGAGGTCACTCGGCGCGGCACTGCTGGCTTAGCATCGCTTGGTTCTGTTCGTGGGCTTGACTGGGTTTGTTGTTCTGAGATCTGGTCTGCGCGCTGGGTTGTACCCAATGAACCTTTCGATGGTTGTATTCCGGCAGGAGAATTTCCCCGGTCGTAAGCTGGGACTGGCGACATTGTACCACGCGAGCCTTGTGATGTGGCCGACATAGGTCCGTCTCCCCCTCTCCTTGAGGCTCCAAATTCTGGTAACGCCGCTCGGGAGATTGGCGTACCTGTTCTAGTTGCAGTAGATGACCGTCGACCTGGTTGTACCGCGACAGGCGAGGCCGCACCTCTGGACTCTTGCCGCGGGGTTGATCTTGAGCTGCCTTCCTTTGTTGATCTGGCTTGAATGTCTGGCAAAGCTTCTGGGGAGACTGCTGTACCCCTTCTAGGAGCGGCAGACCCTCGCCGGATACTGGCTTGTCGAGATATTGAGGGGATCGTCGCCGATCGTGTCGGTGCTCTGGAGACCGTTGGTAGTTCTGTGAGGATTGGCGCTGCTCTGTCTTCTCCGACTGCTGATGACTTCCGCCGCGTGTTCGTCCTCTTGACTGACGACGATAGCCTTCGCGTGGCGGTTGTTGAGTCTTTTCGTGCAGATTGTGAAGCTGTTGCGGAATCAGGCACTCGTCCTGAGGTTGCACGACGAGTGTTTGCTCGTGCGATTTGCGCTTCTTCTGGGTTTGCACCTGAAAGTCTTCGATCACCTTCATCTCCGGTGGATGATCTTGGGATGGTCTTTGAGCGCGAGAGGTCGACCGTGCTGTTGATCCAGGCATTGTCATCTTCGAAGGGTCCGCTTGAGCTATCGATGCGACGGCGGGTGGGTATGTCTTCATCATGTGCAACCTTGGCGTCGGCAGGCGCAGGATCTTCTTCCATAACCACTTCAGTCCGCCTTTGTTCTTCGGTTCGTGCTGTTGGCTCTTGTTCTTGCTCTTGTCCCCTTGCCACTTGAGCACCAGACAGTTCCGGAAACCGGCTCGGCGAATGATCTGACTCTCCTTCGTCTGACGGGCCTTCTTTCTGGGGAACTGGAGAAAATTTCTGTCGTGTCTCAGGCGACTGAGCTCCTTCTTTGGGCGTTGCTTCCGCTTTTGCGATTGGGCTTCCCATGCCAGTCGCCCTGCGTACGTCTCTCCGGACAGGTTCCTGAAAGTCTTCTTCATAAGGGTCTTGACTCGCTCGAGAAGTCTCGTCCTCAGCCTCCAGCTTAGTTTGGAACGTGGGTGCTCTGGAACTGACTGCAGCATCTCTTTGGGAGTAGAGAGCTCCTTGAGATTGCGATTGGCGGCGAGGGGGCCCTGACGAGACGCGACGGGAGTACTGCGCATGCGGTTCGTCCTGAGGCGAATCCTCGGGTATTGAGGCTGACTGTGGGATGGAGTAACTGTTTCTTCGAGATGGTGAAGGCTGGAGCTGCGAACCGTTGTCAATGCGGTCTGGAAGGATCGGACTGACTGGGTAGTAGTCGCCCTTGTTAGCGTAGACGGAGGGTTGTCTTGTTCGAGTGTCGGCCCTTCGGATAGGAGGGGCACTGGAGTCTCGACGATAGGTAGCCTGTCTGGTCTGGTTCGGATAGCTGTTTTGCCTTTTTTGCGTTCCCCCTGGGGCTTCTGGCGACCCAGGTGCCGCGTCCAGAAATGGCTGCACTTCTGATGGGTCTAGGGCAGGCTGGCTTGATTGACGGGATTTGATTCCCTCTAACTCAGAAGACTCCTCTTCTGGCTTGGCCCCGAGATTAAGCCATCCTCTCTTCTTGGGCGGACTCTCAGCTTTCACCTTTGGTGATGGAGTTCGAGTGTCCGGCTTCGTCCATGAGGGAGTCTCCCGTAGGGGATATGCAGGCGCTGGCGGATATTGCTGCTCAGGTGGGTAGTTCGCGCCTTGCTTCGGCTTCTTCGTCTGGCTTTTAGTTTGCGCTCCGACTTCTATGCCCTCAAGGATGGTCTGTGGAGGAGACGCTGTGATACCAGGGGCCGCACTGCTGCGTCGACGATCGGTTGTGCGAGGCTCTGTGGGCGCTACTCTCAATCTTCCCTGTACCTGCGGGGTCTCATCGAGCACAGCTTCAGCGCTGGAGTGTACTGAAGGCTCTGATCCTCGGGCGGATGGCGTGAACCCTTGAGCAGCGCTACTTCGTCTTCGATTCGATTCGAGAGGTATTGTTGACGCCCGTGGTACATCGACTGGGAGTTCAGGTGAAGCCTGTGTCCTCATTCTTTCGAGAGGGACAGTCTTTGATGGCAGGCCTTCAGGGTCGATATATACCAAAGGCTCCAGTGCTGGAGAGGATCGCATGGTAAGTGCTCTATCGAGTTGGTCAGGAGCAGCACTGCTTTGTTTGCGCTCTACGTCGCGAGCTATTGTTACAGCCCGTGGTATGTTCGCTGGATACCCGGGTGAAGTCTGTGTGGCACGTCTCTCAACGGGGGGCATCGTGCCAGTCGGGCTTCGAGCTTTGACATGTTCCAAGGGCTCTACTGTCCGAGAGACTTGAGTAGTCGGTGCTCTCTCAATTTGACTAGTCATATCCTCAGTGCTGTTGGAGTTCGTTGGCGCAATAGCGTTTGGCTCAGGTTCTTCCCCAAGTGGCTCGTCAGCGATGCGTTGATATACGCGGAGCGCAAAAGAGTTCGGATTCGATAATACATTAGCAGTCGGTGCTCTCTGGATTCGACTACTCGTTGCCTCAATGACGTTGACATTGGTCGACGCGATAGCGCTTTGACTTTCAGCCTCAGAGTCCTCTTCAAGCGGTTCTTCGGCAATCCGTTGATAGACGTCAAGTGCGAGTAATTCGGGATCGAATGTAACATTCGCAGTGGATGCTCTTTCGAACTGACCAGCCGGTTCTTCGAGATTGTTGACACCGACTGATGTAGCGCTTTGGCTCTCGGGCTCAAGTTCTTCTTCAGATGGCTCCTCGGCCATTCGCTGATACATATGGAGCGCGAAAGGTTCCGAGTCAGCCTCGAAAGCGGTCGTGGGCGATCTCCCAACCTGATCAGTGTCCTCATCGCGGCCAGGGACGTGGATTGATGCGGGAACGTCCTGCCTCTCAAGTTCTGTTCGTTCATCAAGCGGCGCTTCAGCATCTTGCTCGGCACTTCGGAAAATCAGAGATCCAGTACGAGTACGAAGCGGAAGACTGGAAGACAAGGTCCTGTCAGCTATGGTGAGCCGCTCATTGGGCATCGTTTCCCTCCGAATGGTTCTTTGCCGCTCGAAAGAGCGCTGTGTAATTTCTGCGTCTACCGAAGGCTCGGATGCGGCATCATCTGCTTCTCTCGACGGATCCACAGGACTTTTAGATATAGCAAGAATGCTCGCCATGCGCGTAGGCTGGGATGAGATAGAACGCGACAAGATCGCCGGCACAAGGACGTCCTCTGTGTCCGATGGAGGCTCAGGCGAAGGCGCACGATAAATCTCGGCCTCACGGATAGTTACCTTACGCGTTGGCTGACGTGAAACTCGGCGAGATGACATGGGCTGTGCAAGCGTATCCTATTCAGCAGGCGACAGATCGGGAGATGTGACAAGCTCATCTGTCGGAGCAGTGCCTGTCCGACGAACTTCGAGCGCAGTCTGACGTGTATCAGAGTATGCATATAACTGATCAGGCAATTCGTCCATGGCAAGAGACAGGACTGGAGAGGTTTCGATGCTTGGAGAGTCATTTGGCTGAGCAGTTGTCGGTACTGAGCTTCTTCGACGGACCTCCACCGTAGACTGGCGTGAATCAAGAGGCGGAAACGTCTGATCATTTACGTCATCCGCAGCGAGAGACAGGACGGGAGAGATTTCGGGCCTTGGAGAGTCGTTTCGCTGTACAACTGATGGTATTGTGCTTGTTCGACGGGACCCCTGTGTAGGCTTTCGCGATGCCACACGAATGATAACTGGCATCCTAGATGAGATCTCTGCCGCAGGTGAGGGAGTGCGTATAGTCGAAGGCTGCCGCTGAATAGCCGGTGTCACTGTGCTTGTACGTTCAACTCTTTGCGTAGGCTGACGTGATGTTGCACGTAGAAGAACTGGCTGCCTAATCGATTCGTCTGCAACAGGTGATGACGTTGGTACAATGGAGTCCAGTCGCCGGGCAGTCGGTGATGTCGTATTTGTTCTATGGACGGGTAGCGTGGGTTGACGAGAAGCCATGCGCAAGAGAGCCGGTTGCTCAAGCGAGGGCTCTGCCACAGGCAACGTGGTGGCTAACATCGACTCTTGTCGTTGAATAGTCGGTGACATCGTACTTGTTCGCCGAGCCATTAGCGTACCTTGCCGAGGGGTCACGGGCGAGAGGGCCGGCTGCTCAAGCGAGGTCTCTGCCACAGGCAACGAGGTGGTTAACATCGATTCTTGCCGTCCAATATTCGGCGACATCGTACTTGTTCGACGAACCATTAGCGTATCCTGCCGAGAAGCTGCACGCGAGAAGACGGGCTCTTCTTCCAAATCATCCATAGCAGGTGGTGATGTGGGCCTGGCAGAGTTTTTCCGCTGGACGCTACCTGTTGCAGTACTTGTTCGACGAATCCCTGGCGTGCCCTGTTGCGTGGACGCCCGCGAGATGAGAGGTTGTGCTTCCAAGTCATACGAAACAGATGGAGAAGTGGGTCTGATAGAGTCCTGGCGTTGGACGCTACCTGTTGCGGTACTTGTTCGACGCATCCCTAACGTGCCCTGTTGTGTAGGCGCATGTGAGATGATTGGCTGTACTTCCAAGTCATATGCAGCAGACGGAGAAGCGGATCCGATAGAATCTTGCCGCCTGTTGCTGGCTTTTGCACTGCTCGTGCGGCGGGTCTCCAGTGTAGGCTGGCGGAAAGTCGTACGCGAAATCACAGGTTGTGCTTCTGAATCATCCGCACTAGGTGGTGAAGCGGGCCTAACAGAGTCTTGCCGCTGAATCCTGGCTGTTGCTGTACTGGTACGGCGCCTTGCAAGCGTTGGCTGGCGTGAAGCTAGACTCAAGAGAATGGGTTGTTCAGATGCGTTATCAGCGACAGATAGTGGGCTTGAAGGACCTTGTCGTAACTGAGATGGTGACATGGTAGCTGTCCGGCGAGTACCAAGCGTAGGGTAGAACGAAGCTGTGCGTGATAAAACGGGCGATTCCGGTAAATCTTCCACTACGGAAGAATAACTGGAAGGTACCGAGACAGGTATTGAGCCAGGTATGAACGATTCTTGTCGTTGCCCAATAGGTGGCGCTGTACTTGTTCGACGAATTCGCTGCACAGGAGCTTGGAACTCAGGTTCTTCTTCAATGACCGGGGATACAGTATAGTGATCGCTGTAAGTATCAGACGTGGCTTCGCCGTATCCTTGGCCCACTTGACTCGGAAGTTGCGGCTCGATTTGAGGATCGTCCGTTGTATCATACTGCGGGTTGTCTTGCGCTTCATATGCCAGCTCAACATGCTGATCGGGCTCCATAACGTCACTGATCTCGTCACTGGGCGCATGTTCAGCAGCTGGCAATGTCTGCAAGACGGCAGTGATCGAAGCAACAGCAGCCGGAAGCTCGTCTCTCGCCACTCGAAGCACCTCCTAGATCTCTTCAGGCGAAACGTCTTCAGCCTTGTATGGCTCTTGACCAGCAGACCGAGGCTCTTTCGGTTGGCTGAGAATCCGAGTCAGTGCGCGACTAAGCCGAAGCTCGTCAACACTGTTATCGACAACGCTCTGGATTTCATCTTCGGCGGTGTTGGGAGTCTTAGAACTGGGCCAGGTTGGCTTGCTCGAGATATTAGTGGATGCTTTACTGAGAACACGCTGCACCATTGCGGTAACCAGATCCCCCTGGTGATCCGAAACGTCAGCCCCGATGTCTTCAATGTCAACAGTCTTGTTGTCCTGCCATGTGGATGCGCGTGAGAAGCCAGAGGGCACCTTGCTGAGAACATTCCGTACGATTGTGGCGACCAGATCATCCTCATGGAGACCCGGAACGTCAGCTCCGGGCTCTTCATCTTCGACAGGTCTGTTACCGTGCCACGTAGATGCGCGTGAGAGGCTAGTGTTGACCTTCTCGAGTGTAGGCTGCGTAGGCTCCCCGAACGACTCGTCTTCATCGTCGTGCTGACCAGTCTGAGTAGTATCGAAGTCAGTAGGCGTATCCTCCTGCTATTCGGATTCGCGCGAGACGCTGGTAGGAGCCTTGCTGGGTCCACGCTCTACACTTTCAACAACGGCTTCGTCTACTGGTGCATCATCATCCTTTTGCCATGTAGAGTTGCGCGAGAGACCAGTAAGAGCTTTGCTGAGTACACGTTGTACGGGCTCGACGAAAGAACTGTCTGCTGGGTCGTCTCCCATGCTATGCCAAGTAGCATTGCGCAGGAGGCCAGTAAGAGGCTTACTGAGTACACGTCGCGTTGCGTCGACAGAAGCGTCCCTGATCCACGTAGAGGCCTGTAAGATACCAGGAGGTGACATGCTCAACACACGCTGCACTGGCTCGATGTCGGGGTCTTCGACGGCCTCCTCGTCTTCTCCATGCCATGTAGAGCTGCGTGAGAGGCCAGTAGGAATCTTGCTGAGCACGCGTTGCACGCGCTGTACCGAGTCGACGATGGCATCTGCTTGCGATGTAGACGTGCGCGAGAAGTCTGCAGGGGTTGGGCTCAGTACACGCTGCGCAAGTCCGAGACGGCGATTATCGACTGCTTCTTTCTCTTCCTCATCTCCGTCATCTTCTCCATGCCGTGTAGCGCTGCGTGAGAGGCCGGTGGGGATCTTACTGAGCACACGTTGCACACGTTGTACCGAGTCGATCATAGCATCTTTCTGCGAAGTAGACGTGCGTGAGAGACCGGTAGGAGCTTTGCTAGATCTGCGCTGTGCCGAGGTGAAGTCGAGGTCGTCAGCAGCCTCTCCCTGGCTCTGCTCATGCCATGTAGAGCTGCGTGAGATGCCAGTAGGCGCTTTGCTGAGCATACGCTGTACTGAGTCGATAAGAGCGTCTCTCTGTAACGTGGATGTACGCGAGAGACCCGTGGGAGCTTTGCTGAGTACACGATGTGCATGTGGTGCATCCGAATCAGTCACCGACTCAACCTCTGGTTGGTCTCGAAATTTGACGTCGAGATCTCCAGCGATGGAATCCAGTTCGTCCATAAGCTGTTCTCGGGCCTCGGAGAGTTCGGTCAAGTGTCTACGCGTTTGCTGTAGCCAGCTGTCTTCGGTAAGCGGCTCGTCCTCCGTAGCCCTGTTCTCTGCTGTTCCAAAGGAGACATCCGTGTGACGTGAGACAGAATCCATGGGTGTGGTCTCGTAAGGGGCGTTGTGGAACATGTCATCGTCGGTCGCGGTGGGCCTTCGGTCAAGATCGAAGCCAAGATCGTCAGCTGCAGATTTGACAAGGTCGACAAGATCGGGTATCGACTGCACTTCTTCACGCAGGCTCGATTGAGGGTCGTTGAGGTTCGGCTTGACTTGGCCTGTAGCCCCAACGTTGAGTTTCTCTGCCGCTTTGGGTGGGAGATATGGGCAGGGTGGAAGCCAATCATCGTCTCGTCGACAGGATTCATGTGCTGAACGGCAGGATGTCCGGCAGCGATTCCCGTCACATCCGTTGGTATTGCATCGCTGAACAAGGTCTCCAGACACCCTTCGCAGCTGGTCGAGACTGGGTTGGGTGTTCTTGATGTTGCTGATGACATTCTGAAGTGTGTTTGCATGCTCTTCTAGGATATTGTCGATGATGTGACCCAACTCATCAGCGAATCTATCTCCGCATCTGTCATGCGACATGCTTTCAGAGTGACACCGACGACGCCTCTGCCGGCGGCAACAGTTATCTGTGGAGATTTTTGACGAAGGGGTTGTAGAGGTCAACGATTCTGATGAAGCTCGTCTGCGTGTCCGCCGCTTCGTAGATAGTAGCTCTTCAAGCACTGGTACTCGGGTCGAACATTGCCGACATATTTTCTCTTGTGCATGCTCGCGGTGCTCGGTTTTGCCCATGTATGAGAAGTGTCCGCACGCTCGCTTAGTCCAATTGCCAGGGTCTCGTAACGGTCGGCTTGTCTTGTTGATGCCATACGACTTGATCCGTGCGCCTGGGAAGCCAAAATCTTGTGTGACGCGACGTCCGTACCCTTGGCGGTTGTCGACATCGTCCGGCACTTTGATCTCGCCATACTGCTCCTCGACACCAATGTTGGCAGTTGGTATCGAGCCTGAGATACAGCTTTGTCGGGAGACACTCATGTCGCTTGCACCGTCGTGGCCGAGATTCCTTGCCACGATCTCCTCAGCTCGTCTACGCACACCAATGGACTTCCCAGATTGGTTGCGAGGACTTCCAACATCCGTACTCTGGGTCCACTCCGCGACACGATCGACGGGTTCCTTTGCTGAAGTACCACTTTCTGTCAAAGAAGCAGTGTGTGATCCACTGCGCCTGAGCCGTTTGGGAGAGATCCCGTTGTCTTCCTCGAAAGTCCTTCGAAGATCGCGACCAGACTTCGCACGTCTACCTTCCTGTTGCGACGGAGGGTTCGGATTGTTGGCTTGCTTGGTCTCAGCAGCTGGTATTGAATTGCGGGTAGCGAGACGCCTCACAATCTTGTCGGAAGGATCTATGTGATCAACTGGATTGGCCCCACCAGTGTCAGGAAGCGGCGCCTTGGAGATAGCGTCGCTCGCAAAGCTGTCCTGTCCAGCCTGTTGATCGAGACTTGGAAGCCTTGCACCGTCGGATTTACCTGCAAAGATGTTGGTAGACTTCCGCCGACCAATGGATTCTCGCTCTATGTCGGAAAAGTACTGCTCCTCTCCCTGATCAGATGGTACGGCTGGGGGCGTTGCTTTCTGTGTCGTGATGATGGGAGCACACTCGTCGGCTTCGCCTTGTTTGTAGGGAATCACAGACTGCAGAGATTCGCGGGTATCGTAAAATTCCGTGAGAGAAGCCAACAGCAGCCCAGTATCGGGGGCTTGCTCGTTAGGAGTAGAAGATGACTTCGGGTTTGGAGCACGGGCAGGAGGTTCGCCAGAGGCACTAGAGGCGTATGTTTGGGGAGCGAGCGCCTTCGCGGCACCGGTACCAGGAACTGAAGGTGGGGGACGGGACGCTGACGGACGTTGGAAGGCTTCCGTTTCGAAGAAGTCCTTGGCAGAGCGAACTGACTTGGGGACCTGTGGCTGTCTTGATGGCGGGTATGTTGTCTGGGTGCCGCGTCGACCCGGCTCTTGGGCCAGAGATTGTCGTTTGGAGTCTGTGACACCCACCGCAGGTGGCCGTGAACCGATATTGGAGCCAGCTTGGGAAGGCGGTACAGGTGCTGTTGTCACTGCCTCGGGCTCCCGGTACGGATGCTGGACCTTGTCCAAGACTCGGCCATATGGGTTCCTGCCTTGCAAATAGGCAGGCGATTTGCGTCCGGAAGGAGGCGGTTGAGGTTCGCTCGATGCTTGTGGGAGGGGCAAAGCTGAGGGACTACTAGACTTGCGTCTGGATGTGGTCGGGTATGGTTGCTTCGCCTCTCCGGCTCCCGGTATCGTAGCAGGAGCTTCGAACCGACCCTGTCTAGTTCTTATGTTTGATGGTTGATTGCTCTGCTCGCGTAGTCCCGCATTGGTAGCTCGGGACGCAGAACTTGACGTGGGTTGGTCGAAGCCTCGGGGCATGAGACGCTAAACTTTTGGATAATGCGTTGCAGACGTGAGAAGGGTGATGTTGTAGACGCGTGGTAACTGTTGATTGTGTGTAAGGAAAACTGCGATCGCTGTGGTGAAGTAAGACAAGCTGTAAAGAGGTAAGACAGAGTAAGACTGGGTGCTAAAGAAGTAAGACAAACTGATAGAAGGGTAACAATAAAAGTGGTGTAGCTCGTAGGGTTGCTGGTGGGCTAAGGTACGGTCGGTCCGGAATGCAGAGGAATGTGGTCAAGAGGAGCGAGACTGCAGGATGTTTGGAATGTTTTGGTCACCTCAGGGAGCTCCTTCTATTCTTTGACCACGGAAAGCACGCATGCTCTGTGCTTGCTACTATACATACCGCGCATGCCGTACTCAAGGAACGCTATTTACATATTTACTTCAATGCAGCCTGCAGGCTCTCGAGGACCTGGGTCTTGTCAGCGCTTCTTGCTAAGATGGGTTTGCGGTGCGTACCTCGAGCTCGATCTTGGCCTCAGCAATGTCAGCCTCACTGCCGTTTCCGCTGGCAATCTTCTGTGCCTCGCCGATCTGGTTCCTGACAGCCTATCTCCTTGTCAGTCGCTGTTCCCCATCTCCGTGCATCCGCTCGTACCTCGGCGCTGAAGTCCTCCAATGGGTAGCCCTCGACGGCGTTGATGCTGAGGACGGAGTTGGGCTGCACAACAGCAAATCCACCAGACAGGAAGAATTGCTTGCTGCCACCCTGCTCCTCGATAATCTCGACTAGGCCGGGCTTCAGCTGCTCGATGGAGGCAACGTGGTTGGCCAGAACACCCATGTCACCGGTCTCCGCGGGGAGGTTGACCTGGACGCTGTAGAACATCTCATGTCAGTATTCGCGATTTCGCTTTGCGGGATCGGCCGGGGTCTCGAGCGACGTACACATCCTGGGACTTGTAGATAGACTGTTGACCACCAGTTAGCCTCTCAATTCAGATGCCAATTGCAACCTGGGGAATGCCCCCGCATGTTGCGACAGCTGGTATGGCGTACCTGATGCGGGAGAGCTAAGGAGAGCTTGATCTTGTCATTGGCGACTTCGGCGTACCCTCTGCGCTGGATGGGGCGGGCAATGGCAGCGGGCCTCGCGCGGAGGGCAGCTCGGGCGATGCGGAGAGAGCTCATGATGGACGGGGTGGTGGGGAAGATGTGGTCGGAGAATGTTCAATGTCGGTGTTCTGCGAGTTCTGCGCTCTCTCAGGTCACGGGGTTAGCCGACGCTAGCGCATCACCAACATCTTGACCATCTGAACTGGGTATCACAACACTGCACGAGAGCGCTTATTTTTCGCTCAACTACGTATCCAAGGCATTCAATGAGCTGTCTTCTACAACTTATAGGGAAACAAGCTGCATTTCATTAGCGTCAACCTAAAGTTCTGATCCAACCTGCTGTTGGGAACCTTCATGCACCAGGCGTCAAAGGTCAACTAAAGATTCGCATTTTGTTGCATTCCTCAAAATTACGTGGGAATAATATGGTGTCTATATTGAACTACTCCGGGGTATCTTATGCCAAAACGCCTGTTCCAAGATTGTGAACTCATGCGGCCCATATCATTGCCGACAGGCCAACTTATGCTTTCTCTGCCCAAATGTAGCAGATCATCAATCGTCGTATAACTGCTGCGGTGCGGCCATGCTCATCCGCAACTGCCGCTCCCTCTGCTTCGCCTGCAACTCTAGCGTCTCTACAGCATAGCTTAGCCTATCCTTCTTCGCTTTCAAGGTCTTCATCCTCATTTCTTGTTGCGCGCTGATAGTCTTGCCTCCGCTTCGCTGTGCGGTCCTGCTTGCTGGTCTGGGAACTGAGCTGCCATTGTTGTCGCGTCCGAGTCTGCCGTCATTCAGGTCGCATTTCGCTATCAAGGATTGCTCACGACGCTCCAGCTTGTCGAGGTAGTTTTCTACGCGCTTAAGAAGGTTATCGACTTCAGGGCGGATTTCTGAGAGGAGTGCTGATTGCGCCGTTTGGAGGTCAGATTCGGAGATGAGCTCGAAGTGCTGTTCCAGGGTCAACACGATGCAGGTATAATCATGTTCTTAACGTGTACACACCCGTGTAGTCTGCAATACTTTGGCTAGACGGGGGAAGTCGCTCACGCCTTGGTCCAGTATGTTGATGGACGAATCGAGTAATTGCATACTACTGCGTAGAGAGCCTACGCATCCTTCCAGTGCCATGATCGTAAACGGTTCGGCAATCGCAAGTGTAAGCTGGACGCGAGCGAAGTGGGATGTCGCTCCCTCTTAGTACAAAGACGTGAGGGATCCGTGCGCAGACGCCAAGCATCTCCAGGGCTGTTCTTCGAGCGGAGCTCAACCCATCACCGCATCCCTCGCCGCAACCGTCAAATCAGTCAATTGCCCCTCCAACACACGTCACAATGCCTCTTCTCGGAAGGAAGTTCCCGGCGCAAATTGGTATGACACCCTGCACACGAAGATAGTGGAAACTCGAGCTTGAAAAGATTGCTAACGAGGTACTACAGCCAAGCCCATGTGGCCCTTCTACGTCTCCGGTACGTCGCGCGACTTTGATTAGGGCAGGAAAAACTCAGAAAGGCCCAATTGATGGATCAGAAAGAGATGGAATTGCTCGGGAGCCGAGAGCTCGCTGTGTGAGACAGGATTAACAAGAGTCAACAGGCCTCGTCATCCTCTACGGTGTCAACTCTGCCGCCAACGCCATGGCCCAGTGTACGTAATCCTCATTCCAGAGACCAAGCCATCCAGCTCGATATGTTCGCAGGCTGACTAGCACAGCCGACGAGTACAAGAACGACCCGCGCAACCCAGCCCTCAAGAACCAGGCTCCGAACCACTAAGCCGGATACTTCGCGATACGGGGAGCGATCTTTGAGCATACGAGTGCAATCAGAGGCAGTGTACAATAGCCGCGGAGGAGGATGATCAAACAAGATCTCTGACTGAGATGGCTGTATAGACTTGGCAAAATCAACCCATCACGAACATATCGTCACTCTTGTTCTATGGCTCTGGTCATGCGAGTGCGTGTCAACTAAATTGCAGGCAACCATTCACGCAGAGATCGTCACCACATCGCCAGGGAGCCTACTTCGGCTCAACCCAAGAGGATCAGAGATATGGTGGGGTTTAATCACATCTACCAGGCGGTTTCCGCATGCAAATCACCTGCTGCTAGACTACGTTTGACCTAACAGCTATCCCAATTTCCCTTCGACGCTATTTGTCACTATATGTTGATACTGTACGCTGTCAAGATGATATTCGGATGTTTCCGGTATCGAATGTCTCTGACATAGCTGAGCAGCTCTACAAAGGAGATTGTATAACTGTCCTTGCTATGAGAGGCGGGATGTGATGTTGAGTATTAGACCATGGGCACATGCTACGCGGTGCTTCATACAGTAAGTATAGCGGGTTCGGTTAGCAAGCATAACTACATAGTCCGAAGAGTTCTGCAGATGTGATGTCACAGCGAGAGAGTCGGGAGATGGTGTTGGGACTGATGCTTTCCTTTGTTCCGAATAAAAAAACATCTCGCAGAGCGCTATTGTGTTGTTGTTGAAAGGGCTTGTACGGATATGCGGAACACTCTTCATGGGGTGGTTTCTGGCTTTGAACGATGAAACTGTTATACGCAAGTGGTGTTTGCCTAGTCTGTATTATGATGTGTTTGCCGTACCCGACCTTCGTCACGAGACAGTTTCGGGCCGCAGTCTTTCCAGAACATCGGTTACGACGAAATTTCATTCTAGCAGCGGGACGGCGTCTGCAGGACGTTCTTGGTCAAAGTCAAATATAGCGCAATCGGTTCGCGAACTGCGCGAGATGCATAAAGGGGCAGATCTGTGGCTCAGTCGCATGATGCGGCAGTCAGGCGACGGCATTTGAAACGGGCAGTGGCATCTCGACAGTGACACCCTGGACATGTGCGGACACGCACGACGCAAACGGCGGTGCGATGGGTCGCGATGCCTCCGAGCGGCTCAGGGATGCGATTTGCGGTCCGCAGGCTTGATACACGGCGGCGGGCAGCGGGCAGCAGTCCACGGTGAAAGAGCTCGCTAGCGCGCCAAGCGCAGTGGCCGAATACAAGGCAGGTGCCCAGGTGGTTCTCTGCATCTTGCCATCAGCGTTCCTTTGATACAGCACCACGATCACAGTGTGCTTGTTCCACCGGCCTATTGTGCTGTCCCGTGCCCTGCAGCTGCCTCTCTGTGTCGTTTTTGCTAGAGTCGCAAACCTCGCCCGCCCGCCAGCCCGCACCACGCTCGCCGGCATCGTTGATCGTTGGGCTCATTCACGCCCTACAGTAAGTCCTGCCCAGCTCGTCAGTCGGCTCCGCCCTCTGCCCCCCGTGCCCTATTTATCTCTCACCACGACGCACCTGCTCCGCTGGCCTTTCCTTTACCTGTCGGTCAACACGCTCGACTGCCTCCCCTAGCGTTTCTCGGCTGCCCGCTCCGCTTACTCACCGCCTTGTTGGCTAAAGCCTCATACTGACCGGTCCACCGCAGCAGGCTGATCCTCAAAACACCACCGCGCCCCCATCGTCACAACACTCGACCCACCCCCCTCAATACCTCCCTCCACCACAGGCCAACCTCCTCAAGGTTGCACCTCTGCAAGCATGACGACAATGGTACGCCCCGACCCCGCTTGCCGTCACCATGGCGGCCAAGCACCGCTCCGCAGGGCCCCAGGCTGACAGTAGCAGGACCTCCGCGTCGGCAACAAGTACAGAATCGGCCGCAAGATTGGTAGCGGCAGTTTCGGTGACATCTACCTCGGTACGTAGCCGCCGCCATTCACCCACCGCCCCAGCACCGCTGACGTCTACAGGTACCAACATCATCTCTGGTGAGGAGATCGCCATCAAGCTCGAGAGCGTCAAGGCGAAGCACCCCCAGCTCGAATATGAGGCCCGCGTCTACAAGTCGCTCGCTGGCGGTGTCGGCATCCCCTTTGTCCGCTGGTTCGGAACCGAGTGCGACTACAACGCCATGGTCTTGGACCTGCTTGGTCCTTCCCTCGAGGACCTCTTCAACTTCTGCAACCGCAAGTTCTCCCTGAAGACTGTTCTGCTCCTCGCCGATCAGCTCATCTCCCGCATTGAGTACATCCACGCCAAGTCCTTCATCCACCGCGACATCAAGCCCGACAACTTCCTTATGGGCATTGGCAAGCGCGGCAACCAGGTCAATGTCATCGACTTTGGTCTGGCCAAGAAGTACCGCGATCCCAAGACGCACTTCCACATCCCGTACAGAGAGAACAAGAACTTGACTGGTACCGCCCGCTACGCCTCCATCAACACTCACTTGGGTGTCGGTACGTATCCCGCACACCATCCAGCTTGCTAAACTAACGTCAACAGAACAATCCCGCCGTGACGACATGGAGTCTTTGGGCTATGTCATGCTTTACTTCTGCCGTGGATCCCTTCCCTGGCAGGGTCTTAAGGCGGCCACCAAGAAGCAGAAATACGACCGCATCATGGAGAAGAAGATGACGACTCCCACCGAGGTCCTCTGCCGTGGCTTCCCCAACGAGTTCGCCATCTACCTCAACTACACCCGCTCCCTCCGCTTCGATGACAAGCCCGACTACTCGTACCTCCGCAAGATTTTCCGCGACCTCTTCGTCCGTGAAGGCTTCCAGTACGACTACGTGTTCGACTGGACCGTCTACAAGTACCAGAAGAACGCCCAAGCCATCGCCCAGGCTGCCAACCAGGGCCAGGGCGAGGAAGACGACAAGGGCCGCGGACGCCACGTCACCACCACCGCCGCTGCCAACGCGGGCACGGCAGCTGGCACCAAGCGCGGTCCGGTCAACGCGCGCCAGGAGGGCACCGGAATGTGAGTTCGATATATCTGATCCTCGTAAGGGACCCTCTCCTTTGCGTTTGGTGTTGAGAACGCTTAGCGCGGGGGGCGCCAGATCCAGATTTTACTAACCTTCTTCCTTCTTTCAGGCAGCTTCGTTCGGCCAACAAGCGTGGCGGGGACCAGTATGCATCTGGTTACTGATTTGATGCGGCTTTCGATTCGTCATCTCAACTCTTGCGTGACCGCTTCTTCTGACGCGGCTCCGCACACACAACGAATGGGAAATGCGGCATTGCCGTCCTGGCAACATATTGGACGGCGTCGCTCCTTGATCAGTTCATGGGATCCATTCGTCAGACACCTCGTACGGACCTAGGAAGACATTCCACTGTCTTGCGTTTCTCATGGCCATGCGTCTCTGACGACTATCTCACACACATCTCTGGAAGCTCGACCCACACGGTATCTCCATTTGGCATTACAGTTCGGCTTGTAAACACATCTCAACTCCTTCCGGATTACAGCCAACCGATTATCTTGGTCGTCTTGCACAGCTAGTGTTACTGGGCAGCTCTCCAGCTGATGACTGATCTTTGTTTGACTTTACGGCTTTCACCTCGCATTAATTATCCCCTGCCCCCTCGTCCTTTCATGTGGTTCTTAGTACTTTCCTTGAGTTTCCCCCCTTCGGACATGTCTGCCAGCTTGTGGGGAGGTAAAGCTTAACAAGGGGACGATTTTAAATTGTATCTGGCGAAGAGTGTATGTGACTGAAGCTTGGCTGGTAGACTCGAAGGGTTGCAATGGGGTTGGCGGCTAGTAGTCCGCGTGATTGACGGATCTCCATCAAGGAGGCTGCTTCCAGGGACGGGAAAGGAACATCTAGCTCGCCACGACCATTGCGCTTGGAGATGGGGAAAGGGGACGTGTGGTGCGAGTGATGGTGCTTTTAGTTTTGTTTGCTTTGGAATTATATGCTTTTCTCGCACCGCTGATTGAATGTTTTGCGTGATGCCCGTGACTGGTATACTGCTTGTGACTTGACTTGCTTGATGAGCCAATGAAGGACTATGGGTGGATACTCATGCTAGACTTCGAGCTCCAGCGAGGACGTGATGCAGCTTGCTTCTGAGATATTCATTCGAGTCGGCTAGTGCTGTAATAACGAAGAGTGAAGAGTGAAGAGTGAAGAGCAACACCCTCAGTTTTCGAGGGCTGGGACTCCCCAGTGCCACTATATATGCCTCCCTCAGCCATCAGGACTTTGCAGGTGGAACATGGATAAGTGGATTTGAAGCTATAACAAAGATTGCGAATTACATGCTTTGGAATAGAGACACAAAAAGGCTAGGTATTCTAGGGAAACTTTTCACAAAACCATGGGTCAAAGTGTCGACTGCGTCCCGATAGATTGTAGCAAGAGTAGAATGAGATATAGGCTAACAACAGTTGTTCGATGGGTCTAATATTGCGACTTTGACTTGTCTGGCCCTATCATGCTAGGGCAGTTTGGAATGCGAGATGCGTAAATTTGTTAAAACTTAGATAGATCGTTGGAAGGACTGAGATGAGCTATATATGTTGAGTGAATGAACGCATATGCTGTTGTTGTCTTTTGATGTAATGCACGCTCTGCGAAGTGTGGCTTTTGGTAATGACTTTGCCTGCTTCATGGTGTGCGCGTGCGTGTCATGCGGCAAGTACGATGTACTATCCTAAACTTCGTATCGCGCATTGCTGGAAAAGAGCGAGAGATCAGACCGCTTCCTCGGTGGAGTTCGTCAAGCTCTTGTGCTGTGCATGCGATGTTGTGGATGTAGTAGCCCGTGATGACGTGCCTCGTAAACCTGCCGAGGTAAAACGCGACATCGTTCCTCACAGTATTGTCAGCAACCCATGCACGGGTACGCGACTACTCCAACTCGCTGCATCATCTCTCATCACGCAATCAGCATCAAAGCACAATATTCAGTCGCGTTGTTCTTCAGCTCGCGGTGATAAGGTCTGACTCGACAATATACCCAACACTAGACTTCGTTCAGTCGCCCGAACCGAGGCCTGTCGCGTCTTGCGGGGAAAGCTTACTATTCATCTTCCACAAGTACACTCCGTCTCGATAGTCTGGAGTTTCATCACCCATCTTACCATCCACCTACCTAAAACAGAGTGTTAATAGGAGAATCTTTGCGACATTGTAATCGGAGACTTGCTCTACCGCCTCAAAGAATAGCGCGAAAGAGCCAGGAAAATAAACATCATGACTTCTTCATCGGATTACTCGGATATCAAGTTCGAGATCAAGGGCAAAATCGGTACCATTAAGGTAACACTCAGAGACTCCATCATCAATCCGCGCGGCACACTCCCGAATCCCTCCAGACGATCTTACCCGATCTACCCATGCGTAAACATCACAGTATGCGTCCGCTAACACATCCTTCAGTTCAACCGACCTAAGGCCCTCAACTCTTTTGGCGGAAACCTCATTCCCGACATCATCGCCGGACTACGCGTTCTCAATGAGCACCCAGACACCATCTTCACCGTGCTAACAGGCGAGGGACGCTTCTTCTCGGCTGGCGCGGACGTCAAGGGGATCGCCGGGGGAGGCAGCGAAACCTTCAAGAACGATGCGGAGAAGAAGCTGAGTTATATGTCAAGGTTCAGCTATGGTACGTCCACCTCTTGATCTTGCCTACGCCGCAACTTTACTTTCATGTTGAAATGTGATGGTACTTCTGAATTATAGTACTAACTCTGACATGGGCACAGCAACGGAGCTTCTACGTTCGATGATTGAGTAAGTCTACATACACCCATGAATTCTCACACAGCAACACTAACACCCCACAGTCACCGCAAAGTCCTCATCCTCGCGCTCAATGGCCCCGCCGTCGGCGGCGGCGCAGCCTGGTTCCCCGGCATCGCCGACATCGTCCTCGCCTCCTCAACCGCCTGGCTACAATGCCCCTTCTCGGCCCTCGGTCTCGTCCCCGAAAACGGGTCCGCCCTCTCCTTCGCGCAATCCATCGGCATCCACCGCGCAAACGACTTCCTCATGTTCGGCCGCAAGCTTTCCGCGCAAGAGCTGCTCGATGCCGGCCTGTACAACTACGTGTGGGATGCTACTGGCGAGGAGTTCCATGGCAAGGTTGAGGCGTTCTTGGAGGAACAGCTTAAAGTGAATGATGGCAAGAGTATGATTGAGATGAAGAGGTTGCAGAATGCGCCGATTAGGGATGCGAGGTTGGTGGCTGTGGTTAATGCTGTGGATGCGTTGGCGGAGCGGTTTGTTGAGGGGGCGCCCATGGAGAGGTTTGAGATTAAGAGGAGGGAGATGGAGGAGAAGAGTAAGGCGAGGTCGAAGATTTGATGGGAAGGTTTAGATGGGAAAGCTTCTCGTCCTCCAAGATTATCTGTATTCTATCACGCCATCATCCTCGAGAATATGACGATGCATATTGTGTACTGGGGATCTACAGCAAGCGATATCCACACGATACGATAAGCTAAATATCGTACAAAAGTAGATCCAATACTATCGGCGTCATCGACTCTCGATTCCATGCTCCAATATCATAAGCCTTGGTGAGGAATCAGAAGAGTTTATGTATGCAAGCTTCAAATACTAAGTAAAGGAATTGTGCAAGACCTGTGTGCCTTCAACACACCAAGCAAATATCTCAAACCACTGGACATACATTCTCGATCGAGGTTTTTATACTAACAGCCTCAGCCCATCCCTCTATCCATCCACCTAAGCATACTCCACCGTATTCCTCAGCGTCCCAATCTCGGGACTAAGCGTAACCTCCACGAAATCCCCCGGCTTCAAAAACTGCGGCTCCTTCATCGCATACCCCACGCCCGCACACGTCCCCGTCATGAAAACCGTGCCCTTCTTCAGCGTAGTCCCCTGACTACAATAACTCACCAATGTCGGAATCTTGAAGCACAAATCGTCAATCCCAGAACTCTGTCTCAGATCCCCATTCACCACCGTCTTGAGATGCAATTTCGACGGGTCAGGAATCACGCGTGGGGAGACGAGTTGAGGGCCTAGAGGTGCGTACGTGTCGAAGCCTTTGGAAAAGTTCCATTGGGGGACTGTGCCTGCGAGGAGGGGGTCGCGTTGCAGTTTTCGGGAGGACACGTCGTTGCCGGAGGTGTAGCCGCCGATGTAGTTGAAGGCGTCGGCTTCGGAGACGTCCTTTGCGTCTTGTGAGATTATGAAGCAGAGTTCGCCTTCGTAGTCGGCTTGGTTGTCTTGGGCGAGTTTGGGGATGACGATGGGGGCGTTGTGGTCGTTTAGACAGGTGTTGGCTTTGATGAAGGTGGAGGGGTAAGGAGGGAGGGTGCGGCCGCCTTCTTGGACTGGACGCGGGGAGGTCAATGGTTGGAGAAGAGTGTATGGGGTGTGTGAGAGATACTTACTGTGTTTGATGAAGTTTAGACCTATGCACCGGATGATGGGTACTTCGTCTGTGGTCACGGGGCCTAGTAGCTTCTTGACGGTGACTTCCTCATCGGTGACCTTGGTGGCGGGGTCGAAGATGTCATTGTTCTTGACATCGATTACCTTAGCCTTTAGTCCCGTCTCTTCTGTCGTCGTACCGACATCGAATTCTGGCGAGGGGAGGATAGGTTGACCCCGCAGCTCACGCCCATCTGTGGCGATGAAGCGGATAAGTCTGTCCCAGTTTGGTGCCATTGTTTGCAGTAGATATGAGTTGATGATGGAAATTTTACTCTTGCTACAAGCAGTGTTCTATGTATTTGAAGGACTAGGATCTGAGTCTATGGTGGATATATGTTCTACCGGCGCCTGCCTGACGCGATGCCGGAAAGATCCATGGATGTGGGGAGGTTCGGAAATGTCGAGCGGGATGCTAGTGCGGGGCATTCTTTGCGTGAACTTTGTTCAGGAACGCGCGGATTAGGTCTTTTTCGGGGCTTGTTATGAGACCGTAGTAGATGATGATTTCCAGTAGTCTCCACGGGGTTCGCTAAGTTTGGGAGTAGATGTTCGTGGTA